CTTTTCCTCGCCTCACCGCCCACCCTTTCTTCCTTCTCCCCACATACAGCCTTTGGATTCTGGTTCAGTAACAAAGGAAAATTGGGGTTTGGTGCTGTCTGTGCAAGCGTAAGTCCATTCTGATTCACTGTGGGAATTTGAAGAGAATAGGATACTGGCCACAGCAGGTTTTTCTGAAGCCCCTGAATCAAGCAGCTCACAGTCTCCACTCACCACATGCCTCCATGTAAAGGCCCTTGGAGCAAAACCCAGGCACCTCACTTTGTGGGGACACCATGTTGCTGCTCTAGGCTGGGGCCTGAGCACACGCATGGCCCAGTTCCAGGAGAGTGGGGGCGGGGCAGGGCGCAGAGGCTGGGCAACAGCTCCCTTGAAGACACGGGCCCGATGGAGCACCCCTGTGAGAGCCACCACACCGTGGGTCCCAGGGGGCTGAACTGGGTGAGGGAAGATGCTCAGCAGAGACATACTTATCACCCACAGGACAGCAGACAGTCCCAGTCAGACTGACAGAGAGTGGCACGTGGCCACTAAGTGACAGTCATGGCTAGCATTGGAGCTCATGGGGCCTGAGAGCAGTCCCTGCAGAGACCCCTGCACCCAGGTGGCCCTGGGATTGGACAGGTTTGGAAAGTATCCTTCCCCTCCTTCCTTGTGCTGTTTCTATCCTTGCTCCAGGCCCATTCTAGTGGCCATATCAGCTTCTTGAAAAGAAAGTCGCTGCTCCCAAAACAGAGGTGCTCACTTTCTACTACAGTCTAACAGGCATCACACGCTTAGCTGAAAAACACATGTGTCTCTGATGTCCAGTTTTGAGGGTCCGGAGCCCAGGCATGCTCAGCAGGGGCCTCTGCTCAGGGCCACACAGGCTGCCAGGTACTGGCTGGGCTGCGCTCGCCCCCAGAGGGCTGCCTGGGGAAGGGCCTCCTTCCTGCCCGCTCAGGCTGTGGGCAGCGCCCCCTGCCCTGTGGTCACAGGGCTGAGGAGGGCCACAGGTCCTACGGGCTGCCCTCTGCTCCTAGCGCCGCTTGCAGTTCCTCCCAACTAACGTGGCCGCTCACTTCATCACGCCAACAAGGAGGGGCCCTGGGGCAGGTCTGCAACAGGGTGGAGTCTTGTACCACCCAAGTGGTTGGGGGAGCGACAGCCCGTCACTGCTGTCCCAGGGGCCATCCACGCTGGAGGGGGGCCTTCACACACAGTCATGGGCAGCAGGAGTCAGGGGCTGTGGGGGGCATCTTGGGGGCTGTCCACCACAGCAAAAAGGCCAGGTCACCTGCTGACCCTTGGCTCCTGCCTGGCCCCTGTCACCTCTGGGGTGGACAGTGGAGCCTAGGGACAGTCACAGCCTTCCCTTCATCACCCCATCTTTCTTTTCCCCCTCTGGCCAAGGGTGGCAGGGGAGACTCCGAAGTCAGCCTTCTGCTCTGTGGTGCCACTTGGGCAAGGTGGCCTCTCCAAGCTGTGGTTTGCCTGCTAGGACTTCAGGATAATTTTTAAAAAGCAGTATAAACTACCTGGCACATTATTGATGCCAACAAAGAGAAGCTGTTATAATTACTAACCTGGAAAGGGCCTGAAGGGCACTCGTGGCCTTGCTTCCCTCTCAGTCCTTCGGCTGCACTTCTGGCTGCGGGGAGGCCGGAGCGGGCTTTTGGGTCCCATTTTACCCACTAAAACAGAGGTGGTGAACCAGGTGGCTGGGACACTGAGAAGGGACACCTGCCCATCTCAAGGGCTAACTCTGGCCTTATTCAGTGAGAGGTTTTTGACTTCTCTCAGCCTCAGTTTCTCCATATCCAGTGTGCAGCTGTTATGCCTCATTCACTGTCTGGTATATTCCATCGTGGCCTTAAGTTCAGCAGGACTCCGTCCGACCGTCGTCAGCCTTTCCGGAGCACTCCCCACCAGGCTTCTCTCCTCCTGCCACCTGTCTCGGTGGCAACAGGAAACCCCAGGGCTGTCCTCAGGGCTTCCTCCTCTCAGCAGCTGGGCCTTAGCTCCTTTGGCCCGGTCTGCCGCCAGGCCCTGGGAAGACCACCTCCAGTACTGGTTCAGGCCAGACCTTTGCTTCCAGGGTCTCCCACTGTGATCTTTCTTCAGAGTCCACTCCAGTGCCCGGCCCACCATACTGGCTTGCTCATGCTCAGAACCTTCCATATCTCCCCCACTGCAACACACTTAGCTTGGCATCGAGGGCGCTTGGCCACACCCCCTCTCCCCCGTGTTCTAACGGCTTCCTCTCCTCTTTCCTCTCTACCTTTCATCCACGGCAGTCTCTGACCTCTGCAGGCCAGCGCAGCACCTGGACAACTCTGAGAGCGCGCAGACCCGCCCAGCACATTCAGGTGGTAGCTCCTATTCCCCGCAGAGTTGGGGAGAGGGGGCTGGACAGCCCCAGTGGAAGGGGACTCAGTTTAGAGCCTACATGCCGCAAGGCCAGCCAGGTCCGGCCCCTCACAAGCTAACATGCCCACTTCCTTCCTTCCAGCTGCAACCTGCTTCTTTAATTGGCCTCTGACCCCTGCAGCTCCTCTGCCAGATTTCTACCTTCACCCAGTGTGGGGATGTGTATGTCCCTGGGCCTGCTGGTGCCGGAAGTCCTTGCCCTGGGGAAACCTGAGTCTCTGTTTGGTGTCTGTGCCCATCTGCCCTCTGAAAGCCACCCAATTCGGGAAGGCGTCAGCCTGCCGAAGGTGACTGAGGCACCCCCAGACCCTCCACTCAGAACAGTGGCTGTGGCTGAGGCCCCCTTTCTGAGGGCTCATGGAGGCGAACTCAGCAAACCACGAAGCTTCCTTCTGAGCAATTTCCCAGCCCAGCAGCTCACTTCTTCACGCACCCGTGCACACACATATGTGGTCCTGGCCAGCCCCCATCTAAGTACATGCGTGCTCATGGGCATGTGTTTACATGCCCTCGGCTGGGTTTGGATACTACTTCTGAGCCCTGTGGGAGAATCCTGTGGTCAGGTCTCTCCAAATGAGACCTCAGATCCCAGAACACAGAGGGGGAGGCCAATTCACATTTCACCCACTAAACATAGGCAGCCCCCCCACACACACACTGCTGCTAATACAACAGCTTACACTCAGTGGTGACTCATGACTTCCCATGTGGTTTTGCATGGGCCGTCTCGTGTAAGCACTGAACAACATAATTCCAAAGCTTTGTTCTTGTTTTACAAATGAAGAAACTGAGACATGAGCTGGCTGAACCCCAGGTGCCCCAGGCCTGGTCAGACAGTGCCCTGATCACTCCCCTGGTCAAGGTCTGCTCCTTGGCCGGCAGGGGCTCTGACAGAGTGGCTGTCACCTCTCTTGGCCTGAGTCCCCTACTGGCTCCTGCCCAGGGTCACTCCCCCGCCTGTGTGCTGGGCTCAGGAGAAGCCTGGGTTTCTTCTCCTAGTCTGGGGGCTGTACCTGGTGTCAGAGTTGGTCGCCTCCCCGGCCTTGTTCATGAGAGCGGGCCTGACCACACAATTTGTTATCCAAACTAGGGCCCTCTGAGAGTGTGCTGGGCTGGCGAAACCAGAGCAGGACTAAACGCATCAGCTACAGGCGAGGTCAGGGGTTGGTCTGGCGCAGTGGGCAGTGGTCCCCTAACCAGAGCCCAGTGCCACCTGTTGCGTGGCACCTGGCTGTGGGAGCATGTGCCAAGGGCAGGATGGGTGCTTTTCCCTGCTGCCCACTTGCAGGTTCTGCTCTGGCTCCTGCATGAAGTGTTTGCTAGTCAACCTCTATGAGCAAGGCCAGAACAGCTCCTGTGGAGCCTAAGAGCAGAGGGTTTCTCCCTACTGCTGCTAGGAACGCCTGCCCACACCCTCTGCCTTCCACAGCCTGGCCGCACCCTTGGAGACAGGCTGATAAGCACTGGTAGTGCGTATCCTCCCACCATAGGTCAAGACCATGCCAGGATATGGTCCTGCCCTGGATTCTGCTTATGGTTACAGCAAAATGCTCTCGAACACGCAAGCCTTTCCTGCCCAGTGCTCAGCCTGCTGCAATGCCTGGTGCCCTGTGAGGGCTGTGGGGCAGCTCGGGATGTCTGCAGGTGGTGTTACATCCCTGAGTGGCAGAGGCCCATGAGCACAGGCCACCACAGACAGACTCCTGGGCAGGGTTGGAGGGAGCAGGAGATGAGGCCTCAGCAGATTTGGATACAAGGTGTGAACAGCAGGGGCCAGACAAGCAAGTCAACAGCTGCTAGTGTACAGGCAGCACTGAGAACCCTGGGGTGGCCTCCTTCTCTGCAGGTTGCCCAGCACAGGTGGGCATGGGGCAGGCACGGGTAGGGGCAGGCAGACGGCAGGACCCTAGCATCCTGGGCTCTGGCAGCTGGGAGGGTCACCTCACTTGTGGCAGAGGCCCAGGCAGAGCCGGGTAAGCTGGTGGGCGCCTGAGCCGGGAGCAAGTGACAGCTGTCGTGTGGATCTGCAGTGTGCAGCCTGGTGCAGGGTGTGCTGACTGGGCACCCACTGGACCCAGGCTGGCCGGAGGGCAAGGCCTGGGGCCTGAGCCGCGCAGGCCCGGGAAGCTGGTGGGCGTGGCCCCGGCAAAGGGTCTGCAGCACGGGTGGCAGAATAATAGCTGTGCTCTGCGGGAAGGGAGGGCGTGAGCATCCAAGGCCAGTTGGTCCCGACAGCACTACCCTTCTCACCTTCGTGTCGTCCAGCCTCAGTTTCCCTTGGTGTCTGTGGCTCTGGGTGAGGATGCTGACCAGGTGAGACCCCACTGGGCTTCGTGCCCCTCTGGGTAGACTTCCCCAGCTGTGCTTTTGCTCCGGCCTGGCTGTTCACAGAGCCCCTGTAGCCAGTAACCAGCCCTGCCACCTGCTGTGCACTTGCTGGTTTTCCTTTCTGTCCCAGCTCCTGGGCCAGGGGCTCCTCTGGGGCTCCCGGGCCTGGCTTGCATTTGGATCCCACCACAGGGTCCAGGCCTTAGCACACAGCACAAGCTGGACCAGTAGCCCGCTACTCAGTTTCCTTATCTGTGACTCACCAGCTGTTTTTGGTATCATACGAGGGGATCCATGGAAAACATCTAGCTCGAGGCCTGGCGCACAGTTAGCTCTCAAAAGGTTCACTAGTGTGAAAGGGAATAGTAATTCTAACCACCACCACCTGGCTTTAGAATTCGGCTGAGTCCAAGTGCCTGGAAGAGAAGGGGAGAGAAAAGGGCACTTCAGCTCCTTCCTGATGGGTCAGCGCTCACGGGCCTCTGGGGCAGGTTTTCTAGCAGATTCCCCTCTCCAAGGGTGAGGCCATGGCAAGACTGGACCCCTGGGAGAGCAGGCACATTGGCGCGTGGCAGCAGTGGGAGAAACTGGGTGTGTGCACAGCAGTCGAAGCACTTGAAGGAGGGAGACTGGTCACTGTGGACAGGCCGTGCCTCTGAACCGGGAACTCCAGCCCAGCTCCCCTGCCCCGCTGGGTGTCCAGGCCCCGCTGCCCCTCTGGCTGGCACTTGCACTAAGGTTTCCCACTGTGGCTTCGGCACAGCCCTTGGCAGACACTGCCCATGCCCCTCCTCTACAGGTCTGGAAACCAAGCCGGCGACCTGGGGATGGAAAGACCTTGCCACAGGCAGACAGCTGGGCCTGCCCTGGTGTTCGAACTCCTCCCACACCCTCCCCTGCCCCTGTGAGCCCTGTGTCCCTGCCCAGAGACCAGCAGTCAGGGAAGGCTGGGAGGGTTCAGAAGGGCAGCCGTCACTTTTTCATCTCCTCTGCCTCCAGAATGGTGGGCGGTTAGAGCACTCGAGTCTCCTTTCACGGCCTTGGGGCTGAGGTGGCCATCTGTGGGGGTCTAGGGCCACAGACCACTGGGCCCTGTCATTTCCTGCCGCTTCTTGCCCAGCTTCCCCACCAACTCTGTGACTTCTGCTCTACCCCTTAGATCCCTCCTGCAGAATCAGCCAACCCTATTGCCTGGATAAGAAATGGTTAACAAAAGGTGTAGGAGGTGAGGTGGGTGGGGGAGCGCAGCCTAAGAGGGCAAGCAGGCCTGATCCTGGTGGATCGAGGTCCCTAAGTCTCGGCCCTCACACAGCGGGTAGAGATGCTGACACTGTGTTATATAGGCGGTGCGTTGCAGAGCCAGCAGCAGAGCGGCTATGGGAGGCTGAGACTGAGCCGAACACCACACAGGCACATGCGAAGGCATGCCTGCCACATCCACAGGGCCCTCTGGGGTCACGCAGAGCTCCAACCCCCAGGGGCATTCTGGGAGTAGGGGACAGAGTTCTTTCCCAGGGTCTCAGGAAGGTGGCAGGGTCTCCCTACCCTGGAACAGAAAGCGACCATCACCTCTGCCTAGAGTGCTCCTCCCGTCACTGCCCCCACCGGTGAGCTCCTGCTGCTGGGCCTGTGAGGACTTGGCAGGTGCACTTGCCCTGCAGATAGTCACACAGACACTCAGCGCTCAGGATGCTCAATCACCACTGGGCAGTGGAGGAAGCAACCAGAGGACCAAACCCGACACCATTCTTCTCTCTGTGTTCTCGATGCCCAGTATGCACATTAACTCAGAGCCTGCAGGTATCTGCCCGCCCCTACCTTGGTGGCCTTTGAGTGGGAAGGGTGGGTGGGGAGAACCACTGTTACTGAGCACTTGTTGCTCTTGGCCTGGCGTGAAAGAACTGGTCAACTGGATAAACAAAATGCGGTGCACGCACACAACCAAATACTACGCAGCCTGAGAAACAAGCAGTTCCTGCCCCAGGCTGGACGCCGTGCTGAGTGAAGTACGCCAGTCACAGAGGGACAAGTAGTGGATGGCACCGTTGCAGACAGCTCCCGAAGTGGTCACTCAGAGGGACAGAGTAGGGTGGCGGCCACCTGGAGCTGGGAGAGGAGAAGTGGGAAGTTGATGTTGCCCAGAGTTTCCAGTCTGCGCAATGGGAAGATCTGCATGGACGGCTACACAACAATATGAAAGTATTTACAACCACTAAACGCTTAAAAATGATTGATATGGTGAGCTTTATGTTATGTGGTTTTTTAACCACAATTAAAAATGGAACCAAAGCCTGTGGCCCAGGAGGTCAGGTTACAGCCCTCAACAGTGACATGCCCCTTGAGATCAGGGCACCGATCTGGGGGGTCAGAAGACTGTCAGAGCAGGAGGGCGGGGCGGGCACCTGCGTGGGGCGTCAGGTGGGCCTGCTGGGCGCACAGTCCTGCTGAGTCATGTGGGAGGATCACCACGAAGAGACAGGGACAGGGTGTGCCTGGGGAGCACCAGGACACAGCTGGAGTGTGCGTGTGCATGCACACAGACACGCACAGCAGCCTCTGTGTCTCCCAGCCGTGGGGCCCAGGACGAGTGGAGTCTGAGAAGAGCTGGGACGCTTGTGCCCAGAAAGAAATTCACAGGTAGGAGAGGAAATTACTATCGACAAGTGATGAGTTAGATGAGTCATACTTCAGCTGAAATTCAGAAACTGAAAGAAAAAGAAAATACCACACCTAGGGGTTCTGTATCAACTGAGGGAGGCTAGTCGCCTGAGCCGCCTGCTGCCTGGCAGCGAGGATCCTGGGCCTGTGACAGCGGGGGCGACATGAGTGCTGGCCAGGACTCCCCTGTGGAATGACAGCTGTCCCTTCCGCTCTGTGCTTTGCATGAAGTGGCAGGGGAGAGGCCAGCAACACCCCGGGGACTGAGTTATGGGAAGTAAACCTTTGCCCAGGATTGCCATGTGAAGGCGGTCTCCCCTGAAGTCACTGCCGTGGCCTGCTGGCCAGGGCGGCATGATTCCATTATCCTTGCCTCCCGGCAGATGGAGAGCTAACACCTCTGGGAGTCAGCACTCACTTCTGAGGGCATCAGGATGCTGGTCGTGGGGGTGGGCCGTGGCTGGTGCCGAGGACACCCTTGAGGGGGGCCCCAATCAACTAAGGGGACCCAGAGAACTTCAGGCCTGGCCTGATTGGGAACCGGGCAGCCACAGAACCCAAGTCTCAAGGGTAGCTCGCCCAGCCTGACAATCTGCAAGCTGACCTCACCGCCCTTGTCAGAGTGTGCATGGGCACACCTCCCCGGTCAGGGTGTTTGTAGGCGCACCGCCCTGGCCACGGCGGGCATGGGCACGCTGCAGCAGGCTGATAATGCACGGATTTCATTAAGGTTGTGGATGTATTTTTAATGCGTTGCCTGTGGCCCGAGGGATCTGACCTTCCTTGGGGCCCTGTCAGGGATAGTTGAACTTAGTTCCCTGGGCCAATCGTCAGAGGAGGAAAGGGGAGGACTGGCCCAGCTCGGCGGGGGCAGGGTGTCCTGGGGTTTCAGCGTCAGCCTCTTAGCCTGGAGCCTCAGGGGAGCTGCCCCCCCTGCCCTCTGTACCTCACTGTCCTACCAGAGACTTAAGTCACATTCTAGAACAAGGTACTACAGTGCTGCGTGACCTGAGACAAGAGTGGAACCTCCCTGAGCCCTGGTTTCCACATCTGCTCAAAGAAGGAGGCTACCTGGAGTCACAGAACCCTAATTCTGGGGTAAGCCTGGCAGGCCAGTCTCCCGTGTCCACCGTGAGTTGTGACTGCCAACGGCGAGTTCCTGCTCCTCAGACCAGTCTCCTCACTCCTCCGCCTCCCAGTGGCTTGGCTGAGGGCCCCCTCTTTCTCCTGCCTCCTGCTCCTGCACCATTTTCTGGGGATCTTACCAGAGCGGTGCAGTTTGGGTGGGGAAATGCTCACATGCTTTACGCCCCTCATATTTTGGGTAAGAAAAGTGAGGCCCCACAGGGGTCTGTCCCACAGTGTGTTGCTGACGCAGTGCGACTAGAACTGGCCTCTGGCTGGTCTCCACCTCCTGTCCCAGCAGTGGCTGCCCAGCTCTCTTTGCTCCCTCTCTTCCCTCCCTTGGGACCAGGGATGGGCGGGGCTCAGGCAAGGCCCCTGCAGCCCTGCCCACCTCCTTCAACAGGGTGCTGGTAGTAGCTGGGACCTCATCTGCTTCTTTTATTTTGAATGTATGGGGGCTTGGCAGGTGCTTTTTGGTGAGAGTGGTTCCAACAAAACAGAAATGCAGTTGAATCCACTTCCGAAAACGTTAACCCTTGTTTATCAGGCAGTTTTCACATACGGAGGCGGACTCATATCTCGTCGCATCTCCTTTCACTAGACAGAGCGAGTGCCTGGGGGTCATTATCTGGCCACATTCTCACCACAGGTAAGGAAACCGAGGAAGGGGCAGCGAGAGCAGCAAGAGCCCACGATGATTACCGGCAGCCCCAGCATCTGGTGTCATGCCCTGCATCAAGTAGGCTGTTCAGTAAGTGTTTACTAAGAGAATTGTTAAATAAATGAGCAATAAAAGTTGCTAAGCAAAGCATTTCCTATTTATTGCTTGCTGTGAGTGATTACCCTGATTAACTGGAATGGCTCATTCCTTCCTCATAAACACCCTGTTATTATCCCCATTTTAGAGATGAGAAACATGAGGCACAGAGAGGTTAGGTAATGTCCCAAGGCCACACAGCAGTAAGTGGCAGAGCTGGGATTTGAGTCCAGCTGCTTAGGCTCCAGAATCCGCACTCCTGGCCACCTTGCTACACCTGGTAAAGTCTAGAGCAGCATTTTCTGTGGAACTTTCTGTGATGCTGGGGATGTTCTGTGCCCATGTGGCCCGACGTAGCAGCCACCAGCCCCAGGAGGCCACTGGGCTCTTAACATGTGGCTGGCATGACTAAGGAACTGCCCACTGTGCAAGCAAGGCAGCCAGTCCCGTATCCAGTGCTGGACTCTGAGGGTTCTTAACAGTGGCTGAGTGAACAGCCCGGAGTCTTGAGACTAAAGAGACTCGTGCCTCAGAGGCCAGACTGCCCAGCTGCCTCACTGAGAAGAAAACAAGAGGGAGGGACGTGAAGAAGAGAAGGAAGGGATGCACCAGACGGGAAGATCAGCGGAACCGGCCCCTGATTTCAAGTGTGGTCCACCTCTAACACCCAAGGCCGTGCCTTCTTGGGACTGTTCTCCCAGGTCCCTCTGTACTTCTGTCCTTCATGGAGCAAAAGTAACGGCTCTCACTCCCCACCTACAAGGAGAGAGAAACCCTGCCCAGAGCTCTAATGCTGAGCCACAGATCCACTGCCCAGTGGGCAAGGTGCATGCCCAAGTCCAGTCAACTCTTGGTAACCCCAAGTGA